ACGATTAGAAATAACTTTATATGGAGCGAACTGTTCTTCTAGATCCTAAATATTATTAAATTTCAAACAATTATCTCTTTATAGCTCACTTTCTCATGCATATTTAAGGGAAGATTAGACAAATATAAATTAGTTGATCCTGGATCTGCCAAATTTTTAAGTCTTGTACTGAAAGATTCCTAAATTATTTAATAAGAAAAAATAATTATAATAAAAATATAAACCTTAGCAAAAGACACTTGATAACCAAAATGCATTAAACCAGCAATACATGCTTTTGCTTCCTCTTCTTCTTCAAACCAGGCAAATCCAAATCTAAAAACTATTGATATAAAAATATAAAACTATTTGTATATAAATACCCTTTACAAGTACCAGATTGTGTATCAAGGATTGCTTTGCTGCTATGAATTTTTCCAAATCTGGAAGCTAAAATGTATAAACTTTCATCTGTAGTATCTGGAGGAAGTCCTCTTATATAAACATTTGTTGTTTTATTAGGATTTTGAAGAGATGATTCTAGAGTATCATAGTAGGCTGGACCGGAAAATATTGAGGGAACGGGTGCTGGCACAGGTGGTCCTGATGCAATCATTCCAGCAATTTGAGGACTAAGCGGAGTAGGAGGTTGTGATGAAGATGATGAATAAACAGAGGATATCGAAGGATGTTGAACATGTGTAGGATATCTATAAGTGCCCGGTGTTGTGAATGCGCCAGTATTTATTGTAGGATTCGAAATTATATTGGCAGTAGGAATTGAATGATATAACGAAGCAGGATGATGGTTATGTGCTGCAAACCATGTAGGTCTAACTTGAGCAGGATGATTTCTTAAAAAAGAGCCCATAGCATATGTATGCTGATGATCTGCCGGATATTTATTGATAGTATTTAAATTAGTTCTACGAGTATATCTCCCTTTATTATTATATGAAATATTGTTATTATGGATATATTGATGTCCAGAAAAGGAAGAAGGTTCAAGTTGTGTATGTGGTGTTATATCAGAACTTTGTATAGATTTTTGCTGTTTTATAGAAAATGAGTTTGAAGTAGGTAATTTATGATCCTGAACAGAAAGTAATGGTGATGAAGGTGGTGACAATAAATTTGCTTTGGTATCTGGTTGATGTGATGTTAATAACTCCTGTGATTTAACAGGTGATGCTTCATTAGATGCTGGTGTTAACGGTATATTGATATGCTTAGACAACCCATCAAAAATAGACTCTTTTGATGCTAAAGTAGTAATATTATTTGTAGTGGAAATATTAAGAGATGCCATTGCTGACGTCAATGGTGATTCTTTATTAGATGAAGCAGAAATATGAGTGGTATCTGTGGTAGACATTGATTAATAAACCAGTGATATGAAAAAAACTAAATAACTAGTAATAATTTTTAAAAAGCGCCTATATAATATTTCAATATGCTTATAAAGTCTTACATTTTTGTGCAATACCTATAAAATGTGGATATTTGACAATAGGTAATTTTTTTGATCTAATATTTAGAACTTTTTATAGTTTATAGTAAAAAGTAAAAATAAGCCACAAGGTAAATATTAAGTAAAATTAGAATCTAAAAATAATGAAGTTATAATGTTAAAAAAGAATCAATAGATAAAACTGCTGAAGTATAATAAAGCTTCTTTATAACATGAAAGATGTTCGAGGATATTAGGAAGGTATCAATAAGCTAGAAAAAAATAGGAGCAAATATAAAATAGAAAATATAAACTAAATTAATTAGTACTTTTACGGAGGTTGGATTAAAAAGGCTTGTTTCGCGCACATCTTATATAAATTTATTAAAAATGATAATTATAATTAATATAAACTATTTAAAAGAATCTATTACTTTTTTGTGTAATATGTGAATTAATGGAATATATTGTATTTATTAAATATTTGATTTAATAATTTTTTTGATTTTAATAGATTTTTTTGTAATAATTAAAATGTATTTTATAAACTATTAATTCTTACTTTTAAATTATTACATATTTGTAATGTTTATTAGATTTAAAACAATGTTTAATTATCGCCAATTTTTTGTTTAGACATTTTAATGTTAATTATTCGTCGATAAAAAAGGGTAAATAAAATTTGAACTATAAATATGATTCAATTATTAAAAACAAAACCTTATAATAACTTATAATTCATATATTCAAAAATATAGGACTGGAAAATAATAGTCATACTTTTTATTTAATATATAAATATAAACTTTTAATATTTAAGACCAAATATCTTCGAATAGTTTATTTTCATTTCTCATTTTTCTTATAACTTCGTTTCCCTCAATTTTCCCTATTCCGCGTTCCTCGCTAATTATTTTATGTAGAGTTATATTTACTTTTCGAGCCATACGAGCGGCCTATATAAAAATTATTTAGAGATTAAATAATGTTTTCATAGAATAATATACATCACCACATATATAAAAAATACCCCCGGATTCCAAAATTTTATTTATTTTGGATGAATTTTGTTCTAATAAATCTTGTACATATACTTTTTTATTGGTTTCTCGTGAAAATGCAATATACATTTCAAATAAATCTCCCATAATATTCTTATATTCCTAATAATTGTAAAGGTACAAAGACTTTATATTTAGGTATTATTTCATACTTTCCATTCATTTTCATATAAAAAATCAGCATTTTTGTATCGGCATCCATAGAAAAGTATTGTTTTACCAATTTTTTTGCCTCTTTTCATTTGTTCTGCCCTTTCCATAATAAATGCTCTAAATGGTGCTACTCCAGTACCCGGACCGACCATGATAATTGGAACAGCTGGATTATGAGGAGGATGAAAATTTGATCGTCTAATATATACTGGTAAATGAAAATTACGATATTTATTACGAGGCCCGTCCAATTGATAACTTATTTTAAAGGAACGTGTATTAGTATCCCCATTCTGTTTTTGTTTTAAAGCTAATAAATAATTTGTTGTAACCCCGTTTAAAATATTATCATTCTCTGCAAAATTTTTTGATTCTACAACTGCTGTAATATGCACTTTTGTCGGATAAATTAAACTAGAACTCGAAATAGAATAATATCTTGGTTTTAGACGTGTGAAACATTCAATAATAAACGAAAAAGGAACTTTTGTCCATAATTCAGAAGTTATGAACTGCATTGTTTGTGCAAGATTAAAACAACGAGATGATATAATCTTATGAAAATAATTCTTGTCAGACCCGAGTTTAAGGGTTTCTATTTTTGCCTCTTTAGATGGTGCAAATTGTGCTAAAGTAGTTAATGATTGTCGAGATACTGGTCCACAAATTTCTAAATAGTATCTCACAATAGAATCATATGTTGAAGGTTGAGGTACAGGTATTTTAACTATAGGATCAATATTTTTAATACGTATGACAGTATTCCGTTTATGAGATAAATTTAAAATAGTAAGCAATCTATCTACCTCTTGATCTGGATTTGAAGGCCAAATAGCTAAATGATCTCCTGTTTGATATTTCATACCAGAGCCTTTAATGCTGAATTCCATATGTAAACAGTTTCTTTCCTCGGAAAAAAAGAGTTCATGCGACTCAATAACGGGAGCAATAAACGGATTATAAGAGTTAAATGGTTTTGTTGGCCCAATAAGATATTCTTTATTCAGTTCCCCGAGAAACACTGTTTCTAAAGAGCTGGATAGTTTTAAGTCTTCGATAATTTCAAATTCTGGTATATATCTAATTAATGTTAAAAAATAAAAATAAATTTTGAAAATACATTGCTTCTTTTTCCTTGAGATTCATTTTCTTCACTACATCAACCCACATTTTATCTTTCCATGTAAGAAAATCCTCTTCTATTGCAGCATTACTATCATCTCCTTCACCTCTTTTTGAAATTTTATTGGCACCAAGCTTAACAAGTAATGTATCTAAAGTACGAGCCATGTGATTATAATATTCATAACTAGAGTTTCCTAGACCAAAAATAATATAGTTTAAGCTTGATAAAGGTCTATTATTAATAGTATCACCATTAGAAAATGTTAAATTTTTGGATTGTAAAAATTCAAAAAAATTTACAGCATTATCAGTTGGTTCTCCTTCACCATAAGTAGCAACGACGAAAATTGCTATCTTTTCAGCGGGAAAATCATTAAGATTTTCATAGTCATAATCTTCAAAATTAGTCGCCATAGTTGATAAGCCAAAACGTGCATGACCTTCTTTTGCTAAACGAAAAGCAAAATCTTCTGCCGTGCCTGTCTGAGATCCATAAAAAATAATTACATTTTTTTGCTTAATTATATATTAGTCCAGTCTTTATATATAATTACGATCAGTCTTACTGAATCATGAATTTTTTGAATGATATCTCTAGTATTTTTTGGTAGAGTATTATTTGTGGAATTATTAGAAACAGATAATGCATATTCATTTTTTGTCCAAAACTTCCCTCTAAATATATATAAAATTGTTGTTAAAATTACAAATATAAAAATAATATCGAATGTATCTAAAGTTAATTCCTGTTTTTCTTTGAACATTTTTTTTATATTTTTTTAGAGAAATATCATCTTTTTATAAAAAATTTTTCTGATTGTTTGATTAAAGTTTCTTTTATAAACTTTTTAAAAATTAAAAAAAATCATTTTTGTTAATTCATTTAAGTTTCATTTTAACTTTGAAAATTTAAAAGTTATAAATGAAATTAAATTGTAAACAAAACTTTAATTTACTGGATTGAAATATGCTGTTTTTTAATATATTTTTCTTACTTTTTGAATATATAATTTTAATTTTTGTAAATGTTTATTTTTTTTATTAAAATATTTCTGATTCGATAGATAAAAATTGTTAAAAAATACCTTTAAAAAGAATAAACATTACGTATCAAGATATATTTAATAATTGTAATTAATGCGAATTATATATATTAAATATTATTTTTATATGATCTAATAAATATAATCTTGGTAAAGAAGAGCTCTTGTATTAAAATTTGATATTAAATTGTCTGACTAAGCATGATTGAAAAATTTGTTAAATCATAATAATGGGTATGTATTTTTTGTTATATTTTTAGGTTTCTCGTTTTAATTTATGAATATAATAGCATCTAATGCCTTTTTGTTATCAGAACACCCCTCTCCAATAAATAAAGAATCACTTGAGGTTTTATCTAAAAATTCTATTTCTTATGTACAAAATAACCATATTTTGTTAAGTTCTGACATTACATGTGGTTTAAATGATACTGGTTGTATGGAGAAGTCTCTTGTTCAGAATTTATCAAAAGAACCATTGTTATATTCTCAGGTTTCTGCCTCTGATCAAGAAGTATTCTCTTCTGCAAATCATACTGTTTTAAACTCTCACAATAGCGTTTTTTCCTCTCATTTTCCTCATCATATATTATATAATTCGTCAAAACATGAATTCAAGACACCTAATGAATATGTACTTTATATTCTTTTTGCTCAGTTTGTTTGTGTTTCAAAAAAAAAAATTAATACTATATTGGAGTATCCTTTGGATTGGGAGCCTAATATTGCTAAAATAGTTGGCGAAGGTGTTGATCCTATATTTGATAAAATTTTAAAAAGTTTGGGATATATAGCTAGACATAAACCCAAGCCTATTATTGATTCATTTATGTATTGGAGAAAGTCTAAATTAGAAGCATCTATTGCTTCTATACTTGATAAAGAGTATTTATTTAGTGAGGAAAAAATTAAAGATGTTTCTCAGATACAAAATTCTAATTCAAGCACTATTCAATTGAATCGAAGGGTCTCAATTATAAAGGATAGGATATCTCTTGTTTCTATATATATCTTATGTAGAGCACTTATCGAGATAATAAAGCAGGTATCTGCAGATACATTAGGAGATGAGCTTGGAAATAAGCTTGAGGAAATTGTTTTCAATCAGCTTCGATCCACTAATCCCAGGGCTTTATCTAATAGTATTATCAGATCAGCTAATTGGAACTTGTTTGCTGAGCTTCTTGGTTGGATGAGTAAATTTCGTTTTTCTAGTGTCAGTGATCGTTTTATCGCTGATCTCGAAAAATTTAAAGGAAATATTACTAAAGAAAAAGAATTGAAAGTTGAAATGGTTATACATGGTATGAAATATCTTAAAATAAAAGTAATAGTGTTTTTCTTTTTTCAAAAAATAATGATTGATTTTCTTTTAGTTATGCCCGGAAGATGCGTTAGAAGAATCATCTGATTTTATTGCAAGTTTAGCAAGATTTTTTCAGGAAACCCGTTGTTATCGTATTAGGTATGCTTATGCCACTCTTTTTCATCGTTCTATGCTTCCTATGGTTGATGTATGTTGTTTAAAAATATGGCTTTTGGATTAATTTTTTTAGAATGCAACAGCAGAGCTTAATTTTCCTTCATGGGCTGGAACTGTTGAGATGTTGTACCCTAAGGTTATTAAAATGTCTATGAAAGTTCAATTGTGGAATATGGCATTTTCATTAGCTACAACTCTTCTTTGCGTTAGTCCTAAGGATATGTTTTTGGCTAACTGGCTTAACCTAATTGAATCAAATGTATTAAAATTGAAAGATAAAACTACGAGGATATTTTTAATAACATGTATAGCAAGGATGACATGGGTTTATATGTTTCGTTATTCTGAGAGTCTTAATACAACTACAAAAAAGTTGGATAGTTTAATTTTGATGCTTTTTCCTCCAGGAAAACGGTATCTAGGTTTTTCGGAACCGTGTATTTTGGCGCTTGTCACTTTTATTCGTTTTATTGGATTAAAATATCCTGATTATTGTTTTAAAAATATTATATTTCCTCTTATGAGTGCAGATATATCTAAGTTTTCTCAGGATTTCCTTATTGATGATTTGTCCCCAGAAAGAATGATAATTGCTATGAAGGCTGTCTTAGCTATTATTTACGATTTATCATGTTTTGGAAACAGACCATCATTTCCTGTAATTATTGAAGAAATCCCAGCATATTCTGATGATCAGCTTAATTTATTGTATGATGTTATAAATAAGTCTATTATCAAAGATTATTATGAATTATTTTCTCAGATGGTCTCTAAGATAGCATATGTATGTGATCAGAGTTATGGTTATAAAATTGAAGAAATTGATTTATCTTTACCAAAAGTGTCTTCTTTGAACAGTGAAATTCATTTATCTGGTGACTTAAAAGATAATCGAATATATTATGAGCTTTTAGTTGTTAGTTTTGAAACTTTATCAAAATGTTCGTTCAAAGAAGTATCTCTTGTAAAAGTAGTTGATATGATTTGTAAGAATCTTTTGCATTTTGATCCTGGAGTTTCGAAGGCTGCAAGTAATGCACTTGAGTTGATTGCTAAGCAAAATAGGGCACAAATAGTTTTATCTGCTGTTTCTAAGCTTATAATAAAGTATGATGAATTGTTTTTAAAAGAATATAATGTTTCTGCTGCTACTAATCAGAATATCTTTTCATGTACTGAAAGCATATTGCGACTCTTTGTTCTCTTATTGGAAATTTGGATTAAACAAATAGAAGATAAAGTAAATGAGAAAAAAAAATCCTCTAATTGTTTGAATCAGATTATCAGTGATGTTGATTCTGAAGGAAGAGTAGAAATTGCTAGTATACTGATTTTAGTTGAGGAAATAGAATCAAATGGTCTTTTTTTTTTATTTAGTCAATCAAGGATTATAAGATGTTATGCTTTTAAGATGTTGCATTTAGTTGTTAAAATTGATGAAGTTATAGGCAAATGTGACAAAAATAGTATAGAGAATCTTTCTTTAAGTCAATCAATTAGAGATGCAGATTTTACATATTCTAGAATAATAAATATATTTTATCATGATGGCTTAAGGTTATTATCTTTTCCTGTTGATTCTTTGTCAGTTGTTGAATATAATCGATTGCAAAAAGTTTATGATGGTAAACGCAATGATATACTTATAAAAATATCAGAAAGTGAAAGTACTATTGATACTGCTATTTGGTTCCGTGTTTTTCCTAAGTTTGTTAAATTATGTTTTGAGAAATTTCCAATTAATGTTATTTTCTGTCGAAATATTGCCTGTTTAAGACTTATGCGAATGCAAAAGTTTATCATGAAAACTATTGAGATTTCAAAAAAAAATAATTCTTTAGATATATTATCAAAGTATTCTAGTAGGCATTCTAATTTTCCGGATGTTGTTTTCGAGCAATGGAAACTTTATCTTATAGTTGCATGTTCTACATTAACTTCAACTGATGATGAGGCTTTAAAATATGTTCAGAAATATGAGCAAAAAAAAAATGTTATGAGTATATTTTTTGAAAAAACAATTTCTGCGCATTCTGTTTTTCAGGAGATTTTTCTATTATTGGAAACAAATTGTAATGTTATTAAAGATTCTATTGTATCTGCATTAGAATTTATAGATGTGAATGTATATCGAGTATTGTTAGAAGATTTACAACTTGTATTGAAAAAGTCGACAGAAAACAGTCATTCATTTCATTTTCGATTATCTGAAAAGTTTCCTCAGACAACGTTATATGATTTACTAACTGAAGTCATGCATATTCTTCAACTTACATCTCATTTTTTGATGGAGGATAGTATAATTCAGGATGAATGGATATTAAATACATTAATATCTTATATTAAAGATGTTAGGATATTTATTGGTGAATTAAATCTACAAAGAGAATGGGAATATCTGAAGTTAAAGCGATATTTTTGTGGATTACTTGAAAATGTATACAAAGGGATTTGTAGAACCTCCGATCCTCTAAGATGGATATCATTTGATGATCGAATATCTTGTTTTTGTATGATTGAAGAATGGTGTGGATATGGTTCCTATGAAACACTTGCTCAGAAACATGAAGAATATATAAAACAACTAGTTTTAGACCAATATAAGGATGTTCGTGATTTAAATCCTATAATTGCATCATTGGAAATTGAGAAGAAAAATTTGCAAATGGCTGCTCTTAACTGTATGGCCTCTCTTTGTGTAAGTCTTATATTTTTATCCATTATTTCGATGTTAATTTTATGTAGTCCGGAAAAATTATACCGGCAATAGAAGATAATACTAATAAAAAGGATATTGTATCATTTGATATTGATAGTTTTTTTCGATGGACTGATGCATTATTTTTAAGTCAAAATGAAAGAGTTTCAGATTTAGGTAGTAAAGCACTTTTTAATTTGTTACGATATAATTTGGATTATCCTGTCTTACTTGAGAAAAGCATGCAAAAATGCTATGAATCTCGTATGAAATCAAAATCTGCTCAGTATTATTTTTCTGTACTTGTAGATGTTTTAATAGATGCAGCCATATTTCCATATTCCATTCATCAAGTGTTAGTGCTTTGCTTATTTAAGATTGGTGATAAGAATTTGGATGTGAGAATTAATGCATTACGATTGTTGAAATATTCTGAAGAATTAGTTTTTGGTAAATCATTAGTATCGGGATTTGAAGCAGCAATTTTTAATAATACTGTTTCTATTTATAGACGTGGTCAATATCTTCTACTTTCTAGTTATTCGAAAGAGTATTCTGATTTGGCTTTTACAGTATTTTCTGAATGTTTGAAATGTTTTTATTTAGTATCTGAAGAATTACAGAAAGATATTATCATAATACTCTTACCTTGGATTCAAGTTATAGAACTCCAGTTTGATGCATTTAATGAAGATTTAGATTTATCTTCTTATATGGTTTTGGTTAATCTTTTAGAAATTAGTGTAAAATATGGTGATAAATTTCAAAATGAAATAGAAGAATTATGGAGTGCTTTGGTTTCAGGTCCTTATGTTGGAAATATAAAGATTATTCTTGATTTTTTCATGTCGAAATGTATAGAAAGAAGGGATTCAGTATTTGTTATTTTTGCAAAGTATGTTATAATTTATCTTAATAGATCTCCATTAGGATTTAAAATAATGGATATTTTATTTAATTATCTCCAAAATCCGCGTTCAATGGTGCCTCAGCTTCGTGAATTAACTCATTATTCTGATGCAAATGCTACTTTTTCTTATATGGCAATATTGGATGACTTTTTTCCTCTTCCAAAAAAACCAATTATTTTTTCTCATGGACAGATAGCATTGATATTTGTGATTGATCTAATAACAGAAACTGATTTATCTATTGCTGCTATTTTACCATTAGCATTGCATCTTGCATTTATACATTTAGATCATTATATTGATTTAGTAAAGGATCATGCAAAAGAAATGTTGATAACTTTACTAAACCGTGTTAATTCTGATATCTTGAAGGAAAGCGAATTATTGGAAATTAAAGTTGATCTTGTTAGTATTTTAAGATTTAAAGATTCTGAATTATTTTGGACTTATGATGATTTAAATCAAAGCAAAAAAAATCCAAAAATACCTGAACAAATGAAAAAAATGGTGGATGATGTTTTGAAAATATGCTCTGTAGAGTATAATGATTTACGGCAAATATGGGGGAAAGTTGCAATTACATGGGCAACAATGTGTCCAGTTCGTCATTTAGCATGTCGATCTTTTGAAATATTTAGATGTCTTTTGCTTCCATTGGATCAAAATATACTTGCTAATATGTTAGCAAGATTATCAAATACTATTTGTGATAATTCATTAGATATTCAGGGTTTTTCTATGGAAATATTAGTAACTCTAAAAGTTTTAACAGAGAAACTCGATGAATCTGAGTTTAAGAATTATCCTCAGTTGTTTTGGGGTGTAGTAGCATCTTTAAATACTATTCATGAACATGAATTTGTACAGTGTATTTTGATTTTAGAGGAAATAATGAAAAAAATTAATTTAGGTTTTCCTTCTAATGTCAGCTTTTTACTATCAGTGTTTCCACCTAAATGGTCTGGAGATTTTGATGGATTGCAGTCATTAATTTTAAAGGGATTAAGATCATCTACTTCTTATGATATAACTCTTAGGGTTTTGGATTTTATAATTGAATTACCCAATAATGATATTGTTGGAAATAATGAAAGATTACTTTTTGCTATATTGGCTAATTTACCTCGTTTTTTGGATGCTTTAGAAAACGCTACATTGTCTCAAGATGTTATTAACTCTGCTAAAAAGCTCGAAGCTATGGCTAGTACTCAAGGGCTTTTAGAATTAGAAAAGATTATTTCTTCTTTTTCTAAGTCACGAATTCGTGTTAAAGATGATTTCATAAAACAAATTATTTTTATAATTCGTGATATTTATTTTCCTGAGTGGGAAACATCTGCTCTTTTGTTTATGTTAAGAATGCTTTCCAATAAACGGAAGTGGATCAAAATAAAAATTATGGAAATTCTTAAGGTTATGTTACTTTATATAGATATTAGTAAGCTAAAGTTTTCCGGATTTGGTGTTGATTTGATATTTCCTCTTCTTAGACTTTTGAAAACAGAATATGTTCAGCTGGCTATAGAAGTTTTAGAGAAGATAAATGTAATATCTGGAGGTTCTATAGATAAGCATATTTTAAGGATGGTTTTGGGTAATAAAACTATTTTAAAAGAGTTTGGAAAAATTGAGGAATTGTTTGGTATTCCTGATGAAAATGGATGGGCAGTACCTATGGCTTCTCTTACTGCTACTATCACTAGGTCAAATGTGCATTCTGTGTTTTGCACGTGTACTGTTGCATCTTCAAATACGAGTTTAATTACATCAGATATTCAGTTTCATGTAGATGATTATCATGGAACAGATAATCATTCAGGAACAGCGTTTTCTAAGAATTCTGATGATTGTGAGGGTGATTCGCTTGATGATATGGTGTCAACTTTACACAGTCTTGATATTTTTTTTACAGAAGATGCTTCGAATACTTCATGCGATTATGAATCGTTTATAGTTGATGCAGGGTTTGACCCAATGGTAAAATCTCATAATGTTTTATGAAAATCGAGTAGTAAGTTTATAGTTTTTTGAAATAATATTTATTCCTTTAGGATTCAATTCTCGTAAATTTTAATTAAAAAATCTAAAAGATACATTGAATTCTTTAGGGTTTTTAAATTCAACAATGATAAATGATAACATTTTTAATAAAAATATGGGTTTAACTACTAACAGTCAACCTTAATCTTCTATTACTAGTGGATGTTTATTTTCAGATACTAATAGGAGTTATTCTTTTTCTGATAATTGTATAATGAAAAAATATGATAAATGGTATTAATGTTATTAATGAAGCCTATAATCTTTTTTGAATATATCTTTGAAAATATAGCTTTTTAATGTTATGAGTATATAATTTTTTTCACGTTTGTATTTAAGATTTTAGAAAGTTGTTTATATTAAAGCATAAATCGCTTTGAAATTTCTAAACTTTATAGTTTTAAAGATTTATAAAGTAAATTAATGATTAACTCTTTTTTAACATGTAAGATTAATTGGAATAATAATTATATACAAAACTTTTTAATTTTATGAATTTTTTAGTGTTGATTTGGATTTGATTTAAAATATAAAATATTAGTTTTAATTAATTTTAGTGAATAATTTAATATGTATATATAACAAAATAGTATTAACTGTTGGAAAAATAATTATCTAATACTTTTTTATATAAGTTTGCATTTAATAAAATTTTGAGGGTTGACTTATAAATTATAATAAATATATATTTTTAATATATATAAAATGGTAATTTTGTTATTAATATTATGAAATCATTTTATGTATTTTAACATGTAAAAATCTATATTTTATTAAAATATAAAAAACATATAAATATGTTATAAATTAAATGATAATATTTAAAAAAATAAAAAAAGACTGTACATATATGGTAATTATGTTATTAATATTTTTTTCTAAAATGAGTTATTAAATTAAAAATTTAATATTTTTATTTAAAAAATACGTTTGGATTTTGATTTTGATTTTAATTATTTGAATTTTATAACTAAATAAATGGATTTATGAAGCATTTAAAACATAGTAAATCTAACTTTTTTTATTATCCTGAATCAAATGCATTAAAAAAATCTGGAATTTATGGGTTGAAAGAGCTTGGCGTTATTTATAATAATAGTATTAATACAAATTTTGTAAAACAAGTTCAATGGTATCATATTATTAATAATAGGCATAAGTTATTTACGGCTAAATAATAGGTCTCCTGATGGCATGTTTCTTTTGAGTTCTTCAAATGATAATATTTTGCGAAGTTTTATTATGTAATAATATGATAATTATATAATTTTAATTCTAATTTAAAAGTTCAGACAGCGTTTTAGAAAAAAACGAAAGTAATATATGGCAGCGATTTATATTGTAATTAAATCCTACTAGTTTCAGATTTACCATGCTCTTCTTTTGTTCGGTCTGCTGAGCCTGTTTATTCTTATGTTTGGTATCCTAAAATGAAACTAAATGGTAGGTTATTAGTTTTTAGTATAAATAATTCATTTTATAGATCTTAATTCGTGTTGTTTTTTAGCTTCTATTCGTGATCATCCTATTCATTTATATGATGCTTTAACTTCAACGGTTTATTAAAATAATTATTATAGAATAATTTAATTTAATTTTTAGTTAAGGGCATCATATCCTCTTATAGATCATTGTGAAAGGTTTCTTGCTCCAAATTCCATGATATTTTCATTGGATAGCACTAAGTTATATTGTTTTATATGATCGAATCTTGATTAATATGTTTATTTTAGGTTTATCGCTGGTACTAATAATATGTTATCTATACATGCTTTACATATGTATGGTAGTGGTCCTATAGCTGCTTTTCATACAACACCTACAAGACATTCTAAATCCTCATTGTTTCATCCTATTCAAAAAGGTATTATTTCATCACTTAGTCTTAATACTCTTGGAGTTCTTGCTGCTGGAACTTTTAGTTCAACTGTTGGTATATATTCTAATGAAGGTTGTGGTGATATTGTTTCTGTGTTTAATGTTGGTGATGGTGGCGTAACACAAGTTTTATGGATAAATGACTATAAATTGCTTGTAGTTTCACGTAAGTCTGAAAAAATGAGCATTTGGGATATTCGAACGCTTTCATGTATTAAAACTTTGGGTCCTCGTTTTGCTATGACACAACAAAGAATGACTGTAGATATTTGGGATAATTATATTATAGCAGGAAGCACGGATGGTATTGTTAGGATATGGAAAGATGATATTTTACTACTTGAATGGAATGCCCATCATGGTTTGTATATATGTTTTATTTAAAAAAAATGGTAATTATTTTATTATAGATGTAGTAAGTTCAGTAGTTGTACATCCATTATATCCGTTGGTTGCAACCTGTTCTGGTTCAAGAAAATATGATGAAAAATACTCTGATAAGTATGATAATTATAGCGATAATGATATGAAATGCATTTCTCGTAATTATGATAATAGTATTAAATTATGGAGTTTATTATGATATAAAACATTTATAATGATTTATATGAATATTATGGTATTAGAAATAATACATTAAAAGTAGTAGTAATAATTTTAAAATGTAAATATATTTATATTTTTATTATTGTAAAATATATTATATTTTTTTCAGAATTTTAGTTATTAAATTATATATTATTGGTTTAATGTCATTATTATTTTATAATATAAATCATATGATAATTGTTATTAAAATTGATTATATATTTCATCTGAAATTTCTATTAACATTTTTAATTAAAATATAATTGTCGTATATAAGAACAATTATTAATGATATTTATAGTAGATTAAGAAATATTCATTTTATAAAATATATAATTATAATCAAAAAAATAAATTAAATCATGTAATACTTTTATAGAGAAAAATATATTTATGATAATTTTAGAATTATATGTATTTTACATTATATCTAGTATTTAACTTAGATTCAGTTTCATCTATAGGTATGCATATAATCTAAGTAAAAGTAACATGTTATTAGTAAATATTAAGATATAAACTTAATAATAATCATATATATTGGAATTGATAACATAATACCGATCTAACTATAATTAAATACAATGTAAATCATTTTATGTTATATTGTGTTCCATTTATCCCATTGTGCCTTTAATGTTTGATTTCCAATACTAAACCATCCAGGTATTAAATTTCTAGAAAAAAATTCACATCCTTTATAATCATGAATTAACGATTTTAATAAACCTGTCATATTTTAAAAATTGTGATATCTTAACATTAACATGATAAATACTTTTAAGACATGGTTTTCTTGAATGTAAATCAGGAACAGCTGCTATTATTCGTTTTGAAATTTCTATTTTTTTAGGCTCACTTATAAATTGTGCAAACAATATCTCTTCAAATGGTTTTCTGTTAAATGACTGGATATCGAAAATAGGTTCACCTGTATCAGTAACCTGAATAATGATAAACTGATAATAATATATATATATATGTACTTTTAACCAGCACCATGAACCAGATTTAGACATCTTCCATTTTTTAAATAATTTATTTTCTACAAACTCATGAATAGATTTATTGTTAGTTACCCATATACCAATTATCCCTTTTTTTGATAATAGTTTTTGTATAGGTATCTAGCAGTGTCAATATATATTTTTTAATATATTTTTTACCTTCATTAAAGTATAAATAGAACTTAATGAATATGCCTTTTTTCTAGCTGATGACTTGTTTTTCCACGGAGGATCAAGAATAATAATATCAAATGTACCATTTTTAATAATATAATTAACTAATGAATCTATATTATCTTCTATGTTCCCTAAAATAAATGAAGATTTAGGAGGAATATGAAAAATGTCATTTGAAATTTTAATAGATTTTGTATCATAGTCTGAATTAGTTACTACACGATTATAAATATCTAACCAGTCATAGTTATTATCTACTATTGTTAAAATATAAGTAATACATTAGTATTTAATACTTTCTAGCACCAAATCGTCTAATTGTCCTCCAAGGAGTTTTACTGATCTTAAAATATCATAAGAACATAGCGATTTTAAAAAAATATTTTTTTCTAATATTTCTAATGATTTTATCTTTTCATTTGTTAATATATTTTTTTTTAATGTCCATTTTTCATTTTTTCTCATATAATGTATTTGTTGTAACGCTTCATTTATTTCATCCATCCAATAACTATACTTAGTGATTAGAAATTCAGATTGATGTAATGTTTTAGATTCAGGTAGTCTAAATGGTTTTGTAATTGGTTCTTTAGATAAAAGATGCGGATTTATAGATATAGAAATGTCTAGAAGTACATGTGATGAGGGTGTTTCTAAAATAACATCTTGATTCATTTCATAGAATTATATAAACGCATTTAAAAAATATTACGTTTTAATGAATTTGTATTGTAATAAAATATACCGATATATATATATATTACATTTTTTACCATTTACTATTTAGATAATTAAATTTATTTATTTGTAATTATTATAAACATTCAACCAGTTTATTAATTTAAAAAATAAATATTTAAGTTTACTATAAATTTAATAATCTAAATTTTTTAGAACTATTATAAAAATATAAATATAAAAAAAAATAATATATTGTTAAAAGTTAATTTCATTATACTATACAAATTATATTAAATTAATATATGTCATATGCTTAATATCATATATATCGCATAAAAATGTTAAATATAGATTTTTATAACATAATCTCACAAAATCCATGAATAAAAAACATAATATAAAAATTAAATCAGATCAATCGATATTATTTTCATTTGAAATTGATCACATAAGTACAGTAACAAAATAATTATTTTTTATAAGTTTTTAATTTATTTTAACATTTTCAAAAATATATCAAAAGAACAGCCATAACATTATAAGAATTCATTAATATTTAAATAAAAGTAATTTTTATCAATCTCGAGAAACATTTATGTTATCTATTATTAATATTACATATTTTTATATAATAATTAATATACATACCATTATTTAAAGAATCAACATGTAAAGATAAACGAGAAGATTGATTAAGTAAACTTAGAAAAAAATTTGAATCAGAAATATTCTTATGCATAATTGACTGATATTTAAGTAAATCATCTGAATTTTGCATGGAATATTCATTGCTCATATTACAGTCTACTTTATTAGATATTATTTCAGAGTTATGAGATACCAAACGCTATATATATTATATCAAAAAAAAGTAAAATATATTACATACATTTGTAGAAATAGATTGATTCGATTTTCTTAGCATATCCATTATTCTTTGAAAACCAACTTCATCACTCGTCTTAGAAGTAGCAATAGAAATTTCAGAAAATTCATCATTATAATCAGATTTATGAATCAAACCAGTATCAAAATATTCGGTAGACAAAGCTTCATTATTTGATAAAAGATTTAAATTATTCTTCTCAACGTCATTCATCAAATTTATTGAATCACTAGCAAAAAAAGTAGAAAAACGTGATGTTTTATTAGAGTTAAGATTATGATGATGTGAAGATGACACTTTTCTCGAATTCGATAAAAAACACATTGAATCAAATCCAGCATCAACATTTTTTAATTGAGAATAACTGAATGAATCTCTATTATAATTATTATCGTATTCAGAAATATATTCCTTTTTATATTCTACAGGAACATTTTTTCGCGAAACTTCCAATTCAAGAATAGTTTTTATACGATCTCTAGGATCACCAGGTATAATTGTATTTTCCAAGTCCCTAAAACTCTCAACATTCTTATTATCATCATTTATATTATGTATATTATTATATTTCATATCCATTTTCCATGCCTTAAATTCATTAATAGTATTTTTTTCTGCATTTTTTATTAAATCAGGTGATTCAAGATTTAAAGACTTAATTTTATCAAGAGAAGATTCTAATAACGTATCATTACAATTTTTAAAAGCTAATTCACGTTTTTTTTCACGAAGACCCATATGTATCTTAGGTTTATAGTATTTTTCTTTAGCAAATTCTAAAAACATAATCATATGTAAATAATGAATAAACATCATTCATATACCTTGACTAGTTTTTAGACTCGCATTTTCAATAGCTATAGATTTTTCATGTACTATTCGTGTTGAACTTACTTCACGATTATCATTAACTCTAAACTTTAAAGAGTCCATAAACCCAAAAAAGAACATACCATCTTTATTAAATACATTTGCAATATCATATTTAGTAAATGTTTTGGGAATATTGTCATCATTATTATCAACATTAATAACGTTACTCGCAAAATCCGGATTAAAAGATACAGTACTATATGGACCAGAAATCATTATATCTATAGCAAAAATTCATAAAAAAGGCATTATAAACTTAAAAATATTACCCGATGCATAAAATGATTTATAATCTTTTATACTATTAGACATTTCAACATTGCCAAATGACCTAATATAATACAATAAAAAATAGTATATTTTCAGGAAATAAAGATTAATACCTTTTCTCAAAAGGAACATTTACATCATTACATGTTTTGTTATATTCCACTTCAGTCTCAAATCTTAATTATCAAGATAAAATTAGATTAAAATTTTATATTATTGCAAACCCTATTCCATCAGGCAACCTATCAGGTTTTTTAACAAGAGGAGACTCTTTAATATCAAACAGCTGCTCTACTGAATAAATAAGAGACATAACTCTAAATAGTATAATCGTCAAATTTCAAATTTTATTGAACGTTAAAACGATAACAATTTCATTAATATATATTAAATTATTTAAATAAATATATTATAATTTCATGAGATATTTTATATTACATTTTTTTATTTTCTCTCGGTAAATTCAACTTATATTTATATAGATTACTCAACTTTGAATGTTGAAAACGTAAAAACAATCGTTCTAGCATTTTTTTTAGCGTTTCATTTTTACAAATAGTAATTTGTTGATCAATCCAAGAAGCTATACCATAATCACGGACCAAAGAGACATTAGCTTCATAAATATTTGAAGCAAACCAAAAAAGCTTAATAATTTTAGAACGGATATCATTAGTAACAATTTCAGAAGAGAATAAACAGCACATAAGTTCAAAAATATGTCTCTTCTTATATATGTTATAATCCTAAGCTATCTTAAATACCATGTAACCAAGTGGTTTTAAAAATATTACCGATAAAGTTCTTAAACCAGAACTTAAAAACGACATTAGCCAATTACTTCGCTTATAGTAATCATGCGATGAATCCCAAAGACTAAAAAATATAGGAATATCATAGAAATCAAGTTTTGATCTTTGTAAATAAAAACGACAAACATCATCAAATAAAAAGTGAGAAGGATTAATTATTATTTGTATAGATAACGCCATAAAAAGGGAAGAAACATAAGGAATAGGTCCTAATTCCATGCCAGAAAGACTTATAGATGACTTGAGCAATTGAAAAAACATCAATATTTGATTTTTTTCAGAAAAACAAACAATCTAGAATATTAATTTTAAAAAACAAAATACAAAAGAAACACAAAAAACCTTATTTTCAAACATAGAAAGTACAGTTAATGCCATTTTTCTTATACTCTTATCATTAGAAGATAAAGATATCAGAACATATCCTAATATATTAGAATCAATCAAAAACTTAATTGAAATATGTCCATCTGAGACAAAATATGCCAAAACAAGAGGAAGAAAAAAAGAAGAATCATATACATTCTCAACTATATCGCAATATAACCATAAATCATCCTTATATATTTGAGAAAAATCCAATAAAGATTCATTAGCAATGGGAAAAGAATATATACTTTTTTTAAGAATTTCAGAAGATAAGAAAATAGTAATGTTATTCGTATCAAAAGAGATTTCGAGCGGTATATCTTTTTTGGTCTCAGATTGAATATTAAGAATAATTTTTTTATTAAAAAAATTATATCGAACAAGTTCCTCATATTTTTGCAAAATATCTAGTAAAATCACATCAACAGCATTCGTAGTACCTGTATAGACATTATAAATTCTTTCAATTATATATAAAGGTATTTGAGTAGACAAATTACAAATAAAATAATGAAGCAATTGAGCAATAATTAATCTATGCTCAAAAAAAAAAGCAGAGTTAGTATTTATATCTTTCCAATCGCTACTTTTAGATAAAATTAATGATACATATGATGTAGAATCATCTATCTTCATAATATAAATATAGATATCTAATATTATATAAAACTTACATTATGTTTAAGCTCCTTAACAACATTATAAATGAATCTAACTACATTATATATCAATATGTGATTTTTAAGTCCAAATTCTATTAAAAGAGTCAAAAGATTCTGCGAGACATATTTCGATAACATTTTCCCCGATAATTTGAGATAATTAGCTAATAATTATCAAGTTTTTTATATCTTAAATACAATTCAACTCACCAAAAGATTCTATAAAATTAAGACAATCTTCAGAAAGCGTTATATCATCTGAAAAATATTTTATCAATAATTTTATAATATTATTAAACCAAATTCCTATATATTTTTCAACAATCTCATTTCCATACTTATAAGTCGCAAGTTCTATTATTTCAATAGATCTTTTATTTAAAATTATATTATCATCACTTATACATAATTTATCAAGAATATTTTCACCATTTTCAAATAACAAATTTAATTTTATACTTTGATGCAGAATCTGAAATAATATAAAGCCTTTTTCACTTTGATCAAGAAACCCATTTAATAAATCATCCTCAATAAACCGCAACAAAAATACAAGATGATCTTTTAATGTATCAGTTATAATAAGCTTTTTTTTTTCTAATGGATAATCTTTCCATAAAACATATGCATTAATAAAACATAATAAATTAGGAAAGAAAAAAGGCGAAAAAGTAGAAATATTTCCAGACTTTTTTACTATTTCATATACTTTTTCACATATGATTTCAAGAAAAATAACAGATTCAGAACAAATTTTACTGATTAAATCTGAAAAGAAAATATTTTCTGTATTCTGAAATATTAGAAAAAACACATTACCTATAAACTCATAGAAAGTAAGAATAGAATCATCGGATAAAGAACATATTTTAACTATCAAAAGTTCAAATATATTATTTAAAGAATATCCATTTTTTAGTCCTATATTAAAAATTAAAATGAAATCAGAAATTGTAACAATTTCAATATTGTTCAGAGTGAAAAATCGACCAAAAACAAGATTAAAAAAATCTAAGATATCAGAACGTGTATCACTAAAAGTATGTATTTGTTGTATATATATTTTCACAACTTCAGCAGATATTTCAAAAAACTGATCTTTTGACCAATATGGCTCTAATAGTAAAAAAATTTCGTTCCACTATAAAGTTTAAAAAATTTACAAGACATTATTCTTTTACCTCATCAGAAGATAGAGATAGATTCCTTATAGAATCATTAGTCAGTACTTCTATAAAATTCTCATATGTTTTATTCATAATTTCAAATAATAAACATGAGTCTAATGGTTTTATAAAATCTATGACAAGATATATAAATTCTTTTGATTAAATCAAAAATAGCAAAAAAAAATAAAAAAATCCTACCTTTTGAAAAAACCCGTACTTTAAACGAACTAAAATTAGATCCAAAGTTTAAATAATTATCAAACCATCTATCATTTTCAATTATAATCATTTTAAATCTATCATAATCTTTAGTGCCCCTCAAAACATCACCAATAGATTTAATTATTTTAAAATATTTTAAAATAACATCATTAAAATCATATATAATTTCCCTATCATCAAAAAAAAGAACATAAATCATCATCTTCAAAACAATAACATCCAATAAACAAATATTAATATATTTATATCGAATATGATATATTATATTATCAAAATGCATGTATAACTGTGATATTCCTCCATGCAAAATAAAATCAATTAAAACAAAATTATCAGATAAAGAAACACTTTTTATTCAATCAGAAAAAAAACAATTAAATAAAGGATATTACCATGAATATTTATAATTCACAAAAGAAATATTTTGAAACTTTTTAGTAACTAAACAAAAGCTGAAACTTTTTGAACAAACTCCAGTTAAAAACGATTTTTCTAAAAATTCTATATATAATTTTGTTTCATTAAATATACAAGCAATCTCGAATGATCGCTCTTCCATTAATTTTGTTAATTTCTGAGATATTATTTTCGAAAATTTCCATATATTTTCATTCAAAGTAAAAAATCCAAGAACCCTAGATAACCATGACGCAATCAAAAATTTATCATCATCAGAAGACATAGAATATTCGAAAAAATAATCCCATTGTTCTATTAATACAATTAATACTAAACTTGGAAATCTTCTGTCAATTTCCAAATTATAATCAAAAATAAAAGAAACCAAATCATCCATGTATTTGTAAGGAGAGTTCATAAAAAGCATCAAGCTATTTCCTAAAAAATCAACTATAACATTAACCCTTCTAGCAAAACATTTTGCATCATCTAAAGTTTTTAATATCAATTCTACAGAATCCATAGACAGTGCAATAGAAAATGCATTTGAAGATATCAATAAAGATGAAATAAGATTTTTATATTCATTTCTAAACTCATTATTTCTAGAAGAAAGATAAAATTTAACTAGAGCAGTAAATATAGTCTCCGAGAATTCTTACAAATTTAGAAAATCATGAATTAAATACTGAAAATACCTTGATTTTTATTCCACCATTTGGATATTGGAAGAAATTTATAAGATATACGAAATAAATAATAAAGAATAAGAGAACCGTATGAAACTTCTTCCGATGTTTCAGAAAAACCCTTCATTAAAATAGATGAATAATCATGTTTTCCAAAAAAAATAATTTCAGGAAAGGTTTCCATATAATATACAAAAAGTTTTACGACAGAAAATTTTAAAAGATTACTAGATTTTCCCCAAACTGACTTGAATAGATAAAAAATAACACGAATATCAGGTAAACGTTTCAAAAACATATCTCTTAACAATAATTGATTTTTTTTCCATTCAAAAATCTTCATATTAAAATCATTTTTTTTATCCAATATAGTCTTTACTTGACAATATTTATTTATTGAAAACATAATCAAATTCGCGGTAAAAAACACAACCAAATCATTATTGTGTTTCAATCCTGAACTAAGAGATACTTTTGTTAATGCTGAAGGAATAATATTTTCTAAAATAGTAGTAAGAATTAATTCAGAAGAAATAGAAGAAAAAGTCATGAATGGGATAGGTAAAAGAACAAGAGACTGATATACAGAAGATATACTTAACCAAGATATTGTTAAATGAGGCTCGAAACGAATATTGAGACTAAATTGCGACGCACAATATGCAATTAATTCAGGACACGCCTGACATATCTTTAAAAACAATTCCTGCTGAAGAATATCTTGAGTTATCTTGAGTTTAAATATAAAAGACGATAAAATTTTATTGTATATTAAAAGACTCTTATTTTTTTTAAAATCAGTTTCCAATTTTGGATACCATCCATTGCATTCAAAGCATATACCCATTCCATGTTTAGTACATAACAATATCAAAAAACTATGTATAGCCATAGATCGTGAAATTCCATCATCTGTCCCAGAATATAAAGCAATTAACTATATTTTAAATATTAAATATTTAACATGACTAGACTCACTTCATTCAAAACATTTTCATTAAATATCGACATTTTTATACTGCGAGGTATATCTTTCTCAAAAATAACAAATTGAAGAATAATATCTAACACCTTCTGCATGAAACTTAAATCATCTTTAACAAGACCAGAAAAGATATCATAAAAAATATTTTTATAACTAAAAAGCTCTAATTTCAAAGAAACAGGGCCAAATTCTAAAAAACAAAATATAAACCTAATCATAAAAGTTCTAGGTGTCTCAAAAGCCAAAAACCGTGCATTAATTCGTGAAGACGTATTAATTGAAAACCTAGAAAAATTCTATTTAAAACTTAATTCTAAAATCATTGATTAAGAAAAAGGCACCTTCATTATTTTTGAAATAACCTTATGTGAAAAATCAAAAGATTTAAAAATCTCTAAAATGAAAGATCCTAAATTAAAACATGACATTTCAATTAAAAGCCTCAAAGTCCAAATAACCAGAATATCTATATTGGAAGACAAATTACGATAAATAGATTTAATATGAAAACCCAAAATTCTTTCAATAATTTTATTTCCTGTTGTATAACTACCTAGTAATTCAGTAATTCGTATTACAAAAATCAATATTTCCAAGATGAGAGAAACAATAGAAGAATCATTGCTCTTTCAACATGTTAAATAATAATAATATTTAAATGCTATGACCTGATGAAAATATATCCAAAGTTCAAAAATTTCTTTACATGGAACCTCAGTATTAAAATAAGACAACAATACTGAACAACTTCCTAAATTTTCATAAAAGCGTATTTCACAATCTATAAAAAAATCCAAAATTTTTTTTAGACCTAATAATATTATATCTTTAGATATCATATATTTATCATATATTTACCAATTAAAACAAGAGAACGATTTGAATAAATTTTAACATTAATTAAATTTCTCAAATCATCAACAGTTATATTATTTGACATCAATAGATTTTTTAAGGAATCACCCAGAGTAGTTTGAAAAAATAAATAATCATAATCTATTATTTTTTTTTTAGAATTATCGAAACTTGAAAATTCAAACCTTTTTCTTATTTATAATGTATTCATTTTAAATAAGAAAAAATACCATAATATTTTATATAACTAATCTAACTTCAACTATTAAAATCTATTACATATAATATAAATATACTGTAATTCATATTAAAAATCCATAATTTTAAAAATAATTTAAAAAAATTGATACAAAAAATTTCAATATTAAAATTCTAAGCAAAATCTTATACAAATTTAAAATTAATTAGATTAAAAAAATTAACATATAAATTATTAGAGACTTAATTAACCAAAAAATTTACCAAGTAACTTAGAATTAATTAAATAAACTTATTGATTATTAATCGCGAATATTTCATCTAAAATAAAATTAATTAAATAATTCTTAATAATGTTTTGATATTTCACTAATAAAAACTATCAATATCCTTAGTAAATAGAAGCATTGTTTTGCATGTTACAATAAAACATTAAAAATGGAATTTTATTTTTCATTTTAAAGTACAAAATTTCAAAAATATTTGTTAAAACAATATCTATAAATCTTTCAATTTCGAATTAACATTTTTTAAACTTGTAATAATATAAACATTATTTTACCAAAGAATATTTAGTACATTTAAAATAAACCTATCTAAAATATTCTAGCGTAAACCAAGCATTTAATCATTATATATATTTTTATTCAAATCTAATTAAGCTCATATAATAATAAAATAGAAAAAGTATTAATATTTTATTTTATTATTATAAACTTTGAAGGTTAATATCGTTTAAAACTTTCTAAAAATTATTGCATAAACATCCTTTTCTCTAATTCACTATGGAAATCGACAAAGCAATCTTCATCACCTAATTTTATTAAATACTGATAAGTATATAATTAAAAAATTATAAAACCTAAGAAAATTTCATCAATATCTATACTACTATCATTTCCAGTAAGTATATCATAATGAATATTGCTTGACTTTTCAAAAATCATAGGCCTAAATTCCTACTCAAATATATCACATAATAATAATAATAAAAATAACAAATACGTACAGAATCAATAATCTTCAATTCCATTTTACGACGAATAGGTTCTGAAATACCAAAAATTCTATTTAACAATTCCATTTTTGATTCATTCTCTTCATGCTTCCATCTGTTTAGAAAAACCTCTAAATCGTGATGCGAATTAGTATCTAATTCTGAAGATTTAAGACCAAATCTAAAAGTATCATGAATAGTTTTCACAGATGGACTAGAAGTTGTTTCTATAGGAAATGTAAAGGATTCAGATAATCTAGAAAAAAAAGGTATCTATTTAATGTTATTTAAGTATATAAAGCATACTTTCCTAATTTTTTACCATAATCTAAAACTCAAATTTTTTTAAATATCGTCGATTTAAAAAATTTAAATTTATGACAAATATATGAAAATATAAATATTATAAACATATAAACAAAGATATAAATAAATTATTCAAAACATATCCATATTATTTATATTTTTTCTTTAAGGTATTACGTTTTATTGCTTCTTTTTTTTCTACATCCATAATATATGTCTCAGTAATTTTCCATAAACTACTTGAAATATCAGAATTAATATATTTTTTTGTACCAATACTTATATTTTTAGGTTTCTTTTTTTTTAAAAATATAGATCTACTTACTCTCTCAGTGAACATTTAACTATTAATTTTCCTCCTTGACCAGTTCCGCATTCAGAACTCATTATGCAATATAACAAACTTTGAGCACCTTGTCTGCAGCTTTTCAAAACAATATACCACAGAGGCCACATAATAATATATAAAAGGAGTCCCCATAGGCTCCCAAAACTTAAAAAACGAAGTGTCATATGAGATCTTACAAAACCAGGATCTACAACATAGCAACGTACATTATTTGGAAACTCATCTGGTCTCTTATAATTAGATATGCGATTTTGGAATTCTTTTGCAAAATTCATAAGTGCAATTTTTGATGCTCCAAAACATTTCCAAGGGCGTGATGAAGGATATCCTCTTCGTTGGAATTCCAAATCCATAAGATCTAAATCACCTAACATATAAGTAGAACAAATAGTAAGAACTACCCTAACATCTCTTCCTGGGGGCTGAGATCGTAATGCCGGAAAAATCAAGTTTAAAAGATGAAAATGTGCTAAATAATTAATACCCCAATGAAGTTCGACACCATCTTCAGTAACTAATTTAGGCTTAAATGGTGGCAACATCACTCCAGCACAGCATATTACCATATCAAGCCTTCTTGGAGGAATGTTATCAATCCATTTGGTTGCAAATTGCCGAATAGAATACAAAGAAGACAAATTACACGTTTCTGCAAATATCATATGATTATTAGTCCGGGTTCTTAAATCATTAATATAATCAATTGTCCAAGAATCAGAACAAGATCTAACTAGAAGAATTATATGAGCACCTCTCTTAGCTAACTCCTCTGTAACTTCTGCTCCTATTCCAGAAGTTCCACCCTAAAATCCCTTATAAAAAGTAATAGTACATAAATTAAACATACGGTAATGAGAAAAACACTTCCATTAAATCTTCTGTCTGTCTTGTTATTTGTTCCAGAAAAGTACTTTTTTAAAAGATATAATAATATTATTAATGAAATATATTTTTGAAAATTAGTAAAAACATATTTTTCATAAAACACAGGAGATAAATTAATCAAATGTGTTATAAATGGTATAGGCATGTCTATAAATATAAATAAATAAGTTTAAAAATTTTATTTAAAATCCTGCGTTTAATAAAATTGATTTTTTTTACATAATTTAATATAAAAATTAAAAAACATTATTTAATTTAAAATTTTACACAAAAAATATTAACTTTCAAAAATTTTATAATTTTAATATAAATACATATTTTTTATAATACCAGCATATTTTTTTATTATGGATGAGCTTCAAAAACTTGAAAAATTAAATCTAATAAATATTATAACAAGAGAACTTGTTAACCACGTAGGCATAGAAGATAATAACTTAGTGGAATTTATTATTCATTTACATTCTATTTCAGATTCATTGGATGATTTTAAAACTAAGCTAGAAGATGCAGGAGCAGATTTTACATCTTCATTTATAGAAAATATTGATCGTTTAATTATGTTAATACAACCAAAATCTATAGAAAAAAATAAAAATACAACTAATAGCAATAATAATAATAATAATGTCAGTACTGATGATGCAAAATCTAGGATTTTTAAGGGGTTATCAATTCCTGATAAAGAAATTGACTGGTATCAAGTACCTCAAACAGATATTCATACAAATAATAAAGAAGATTTTTTGAAACTTAAGGAGCCAGCCAATAACAAAGATGAAAAAATATGCATTAATACAGAGAAAAAACGTCGTATATCACTTGAAAATAAAGATTCTATATATGAAAAAGATTATCAACATAAAAAAAATAGGAAAATAAATAATGAAGTACCAGCTGATAATTATAATAAAAAACTTGATAAAAAACCAGAATTATATAAAATCTATAGCGTTAGATATCATATAATATTTATTATATATGCTGATTTTTTTACTAGGGAAAGGTATCAGGTATTAAGAAATTTGGAATTTTTGTAACTTTGGATGGTGTTTATGGAAAAGTGGATGGTAAAATTTTGTTTTTATTTCTTTATTCAATTTATTCAATTTATTCAGGACTAGTACATATTTCATCCATACAAAGAGGACATGTAAATCATCCATCGGATATTGTATCAAAATTTCAAAATGTCATGGTAAAAGTAATAAAAATAGATCAAAATGGACGTATAAGTTTATCAATGAAGGATGTAGACCAATCTACCGGGAAAGACTTAAATTTATCCAAAAAAATGAATGATAGAGATTTCTTAGGAATAGCTGGAAATTTTCCAGAGAATTATCAAGATATACCAGTAATAGAAGATGAAGATGAAGATCATCCAATAAAACAAAGGAAACGCCTAAATTCATATGAGCGTTGGGAAATAAAACAACTAATGGCATCAGGAGCTATTTCAGCAGCGGATTATCCAGAACTAGATGATGATTATAATTTGCATATCAATGGAGGAGATGATATAGAAGATAACGAAGACATTGATATTGAAGTAAGAGATGAAGAACCTCCATTTTTAGCAGGGCAAACAAAGAGAAGTCTTCAACTAAGTCCAATAAGAATAGTAAAAGCCCCTAATGGGTCTATGAATAGAGCAGCAATGCAAGGAGAACAATTGGCAAAAGACAGAAAGGAACTACGTCAACAAGAACGTGAAGCAGCAAGTAGAGAAGAATTTCAAGGTTTGAGTGAACAATGGTTAGACCCAATGGCTCACGGAGAAAAAACTTTTGCTCAGGACCTAAAAAATACAACATTAAATAAAAAAACAAATGATATCCCTGATTGGAAAAAAGCGACGTTTTCTAAAAACACATCATTCGGAAAAATAACTAATTTAAGTATTACTGAACAAAGACAAGCATTACCTGTATTCAAGCTTCGAACGTCATTTGTTGAAGCAATACGTAAGGTGTGAAATAGATTCTTACTATTTAAATCTAAACAGCACTAGAATCAGTTAATTATAGTTGTTGGAGACACAGGTTCAGGAAAAACTACTCAAATTACTCAGTATCTTGCTGAAGAGGGCTTTGCAAATAATGGCAAAATCGGATGTACTCAACCTCGTAGAGTAGCAGCAATGTCAGTTGCTAAACGTGTTGCCGAAGAAGTAGGATGTCGTTTAGGTCAAGAAGTTGGTTATACTATTCGTTTCGAAGATTGTACTAGTTCTAAAACAAAAATCAAATATATGACAGATGGAATGCTTCAGCGTGAATGTTTGATAGATCCTGACTTAAAAAGTTATTCCGTGATTATATTGGATGAGGCACATGAGCGTACGATTGCAACTGATGTTCTTTTTGGTCTACTTAAAAGTAATTTATATTTTTTGTTTATTATTAATACTAATTAAATAGAATCTTTGAAAAGAAGACCAGATTTGAAATTAATAGTTACATCTGCTACACTTGATGCTGAAAAATTCTCTTCATATTTTTATAACTGTCCAATTTTTACTATTCCAGGAAGGACATATCCTGTAGAAATATTGTATACAAAAGAACCGGAAAAAGATTATTTGGATGCGGCCTTAATAACAGTAATGCAAATTCATCTATCAGAACCTCCTGGTGATATTTTGCTGTTTCTTACAGGTCAAGAAGAAATAGATACTAGCTGTGAAATTCTTTATAAACGTATAAAATCATTGGGTTCACATGTACCCGAACTCATTATCTTACCAGTATTACGACCATCTTAATATTTATTTTATCTAATCTATTTAGGTTTATTCTACATTGCCAAGTGAAATACAAAGTAGAATATTTGAACCAGCACCTCCTGGGAGTCGCAAAGTCGTTATCGCAACAAATATAGCAGAAACATCTATTACAATTGACGGAATATACTATGTAGTTGACCCAGGATTTGTTAAATTAAATAGTTACGACTCCAAACTTGGAATGGATAACCTTGTGATAACCCCGATATCTCAGGCACAAGCAAGACAACGGGCGGGTCGAGCCGGGCGTACAGGTCCTGGAAAATGTTATAGACTTTATACTGAAGCAGCTTACAATAATGAAATGCTTCCTAATTCTATTCCTGAAATACAAAGACAGAACTTGGCACATACAATTATTATGCTCAAAGCTATGGGGATTAACGATCTTCTTCATTTTGATTTCATGGATCCTCCTCCAGTTCAAAGTATGTTAGCTGCTTTAGAACAACTATATGCTTTAGGCGCTTTAGACAATGAAGGACTTTTAACAAGATTAGGTAGGAAAATGGCAGACTTTCCTATGGTACCGTCTCTCGCTAAAGTATTAATTGCATCTGTTGAGATGAATTGTTCGGAAGAAATGCTTAGTATAGTCGCTATGCTTTCAGTCCAAACTGTATTTTATAGACCGAAAGATAAACAGCAACAAGCAGATGAAAAAAAAGCTAGATTTCATCATCCAGATGGTAGAATTTAAATTATATATTCAATTTAAAGTTAACTATAAAAGGTGACCATTTAACACTTTTAGCAGTCTATAATTCATGGAAATTTAATTCATTTTCAAACGCATGGTGTTATGAAAATTTTATACAAGCTAGAAGTATGAGAAAGGCACAAGATGTAAGACAACAATTATTAAGCATTTTTCAAAGATATAATTATAACGTTATATCATGCGGAAAAAATTATGATAGAGTTCGTCGAGCATTAATATCTGGATTTTTTAGTCATGCAAGCAAAAAGGATGCTCATGAAGGATACAAGACCATAGTTGAAGGAACTCCAGTCTATATTCACCCATCATCTTCAATTTTTGGTAAACCAGTGGAATGGGTTATTTATCATGAACTTATTGCTACAACTAAAGAGTATATGCATTGTGTAACATCTATAGAACCTAAATGGCTAGTTGAAGAAGCCCCTGCATTTTTTAAAATTGCAGATCAAAATAAGATATCAAAATCAAAGCAAAGAGAGAAAATCGAACCTTTATATAATAGATTTGCAACGGATCAAGATGAATGGAGGATTTCGAAACAAAAACGTATCGCTCATACTAGTTCAACATTTGGTTAATATATAAAAACTTTACATAAAAATTTACAAATTTTATTTTATGTCTAATATTTAACATTGTTTTATAAAATTTCTAAATTGTATTGAATATTTAAAAATACATAATTTTAAGTTTAGAGTAATCCATAAGAAAAACATTTATAATAAATATTTCTATTATTTTAATTATACACAATTTTATTAAATCAATAATAGTAATATATATAATCTAGCATTATTATTTTAAGAAATAAACAGGAAGTATTAAAATTTTTTATTAAATCCTTTTTATAAAATAAGGTAAAAATATAATTTATATTTATAGTTAAAATCATATCATACATGCATTTATAATATCTAATACATATTAAATATACAATAAATATTTTTATAAAATGTTAATTTAAATTAATATAAATTTGATAATACATATATTTTTTTTAAAATTGAATTTTTTAATAAAAATAAACAAAATTTAAATCTTTAAACTAATAATTAAAAAAAACAAATATTTTTTATAAATATAAATACATACATACATACACATTAAATTAAATATTATTAAAACCTAATTATTTATTTAAAATAGTTAATTTTTATAAATTAATCAGTCTCAAAACATAATCCATTTTTTTAAAAATTTATGCCCATTATAAATAAAACACAACAGTTTTTATAACTTTCAGAACAGATAACTTAAAAATTATATTTAAAAATATAATTTATAATTAACATATATATATTACCAAAAATAACAGATATTTCATAAGAAATTTAAAAATTAAAATTAAAATGACATTTTTTAAATCATTTTATAAAAATCACTCAATAATATATTTTAATGAAACACATTTTCTAAAATTCGTTTGAATTACAAAAATTCACATTTAGAATTTCGTATTAAAAAAAATTAAAAAAATAAAAACTTTTATAATTAAAATAGAAACGTGTATAATATTAAGAATACGTACATTAATAGCAATTCTATAAAATGGCTCCAGCTGTAAAAGGGGGTATTTGGAAAAATATTGAAGACGAAGTTAAGATAAATCATTTATCTAGCAATTTTTAAATTATTTTAGATATTAAAAGCAGCTGTGAGTAAATATGGAAAAAACCAAT